TTTGTATTTTCTCAAGTCATGTGTTCCTTTATCTTTCTTTCCAAACTCTAGCAACCTCATCTACCTATGTCAACTACATATACGTCTATCTTAAATTATTAACCAATTAAGTGTCATATATAATAATTAAGTGTGTGAAGTTATAAAACTTTTGAATTATAGTAGTTAATTATTGAAAAGTGAATGGTTATAGAAGTTCAAATGATTATGATGAAAAAAGTAATATATATTATAACAGATATATAGATATATAAATATAGATATATAGATTTTCGAAAGTAGATAAGATGGCCATTTGTTATTTAATGATAACTTGGGATTCTATAAAACTTTTCTTCGTCAACTAAATAAAAGCTTAAAACTAAAACTTATTAATTACTAGTTAACAAAGCCTTTAATTAAGTAATAAACATTTTATTTAATTAATTAACAACTAACCAGTTATCACTTGATGAATAAATAACAAATAAACTCTTTTATTTTTATTTATTTAAGTTGATAACTAATAAAATACATATTCTATAAATATTTATTATTCATATGTTCCCTTTTATGGTATTAAGTGTGTGACCTCAAAGATACACATAATAACAACACAACTATTTCTTTGTTCATTCCACATTAGTTCCAACAATCCTCGTGTTCATATATATATATATATATATATATATATATATATATATATATATATATATATATACTAGTGAACTTTTACGGGCCGTGCTAAGCGCGGCCCACGGGTATAGCCACAGGTTATCTTTATTGTTTACATCAAATGAAAGTACAATGCTATAAACAACTCGATTTTTTGAGATAGAACAATGGGATAAGTAAATGAAATAAGATTCTATAACAGATAAAAAGTTCTGACTTTAGAGCTTTCGGTTCATTTTTTGAGCTAGAATAATAGTTACATAGTTCTTCACACCGAAAAATAGACTTTTGTGTATACATCACTTGCATAATATATGAAAATTCATTTTCTGTTTAGCATTACTTTGAAAAGAGAAGGATAAACCGGTCATTTACAGACATTCAGACAAAAAAAAAGATAAAAACAGACTTTGTGTGAACATCGTTTTTCTCCATACAGGCATCATTTACCTATTCAACACTTCCTCCGTATAGCACTAAATGAGAAAAGAAAAAGACTAAAAACGGTAATGTATAATTTCTAATTTGAGATGCATACCAGGAGGTATATACCTGAAAAAAGACTTAGGAATCGCTTCTTGTGCATGAGGGGTAAGAGTTTAGACATTTGTTATTCGAGTATTTGGACAACATTTTATATAAGACATTTATTTTGTCAAAATAGCTTTAGACATTTGTTATTTGAGTATTTGACAATATTTTATATAATTGATACGATGTATAGAAATGAAAGAAGAATGTATTAAATCCATTTAGATATTTTTTAAGTGATAAATGAATAAAATCATGTCATCTGCTATAAAGTTATTACTATGGATTATGGAAGTGGTGTGTATGATCCCCTATTTTGAAGCATGCTCTGTAGTAGCCTACACAATAAATTTACGAAAAATGTAAAGGGAAAAATGGGAAAAAAATTTAAATGGTAATATTTGACAAAACTTGTAAAAACAGATGACCTAGTGGTCCGTCCAGCCCCTGTAATTTTTCCCTGTCCATGTGTGTAGGAAGTGGAAAGGACAAATTACCTTCATGATATGTTCTTTATTGTGAAAAGGTCAGATAAAAAAAAGAAAAGCACGTTAAACTAAACTCTATACCTCATCTCATCATTTATATAAACACGACCAATTTTTTCCAATAAAAATGTGAAATTGTTTTTTAACAACATAAGGTTGAAAAAAGCTAAAAAGTATTTACTTATTGCAAAATGACATCGTCATTTCCCAATGTAATTGTGAGATGTGATTCTTATCCACATCTTTTTAATGGTTTTTTATGTTTTGCAACCAACTGTACTCCGAAATTAATGTTCATATTGCTAAAAGGGTAAAAGATGGTCAATTCGTTAAACATTTTGATCATTTTTTGGTGATAAACTACTACTTATTTTCCATGACTCGACTAACTTACCCTAATAATAAAAGTGGATAGACTATTAAAGGATGATTAAGGAAAAATTAATGTAAATCCATACCTACCTTGGAAGCAGACGTCATCCAGGTATGAACCATTGTTGCTCCAATGTAGATCCTTATTAGCACAAAAAAGAAGTTGCAAGTTAAAAAATATTTATTTAGAAAGGTTAAATGCAACAACAAAAATGTACTTTTACTGTTTTGTTTATAATAACATCCAACTTTCTTTTCATATTTGTGTAACATTTTAGTGGGTAGATTTTTCAAAGTATAATGGCCTAGGAGAAAGAACAGAAGTACAAACGATATAATCAAGTTGATATTAAAAAAAACAATGCCATAAAAGAAAAAAATAGGAACTACAATTATGTAAGAGAAAGAAATGAAATTGGCAATACATAGATAAATGAAAATACGTTTATGTTTCTTTCATTTAACCATTATAATATAACTATTTTCTTTAGTTAATTCCAAAAAAAAACAAACAAACAAACAAACAACAAGTAAATCTATAATGCTCACCCAATGATCTTCTTTCTTTTAATCCATCACCTAAGAGTCCAACATGTTTTACATGATTAAGGGTTGCTTCCTGCCATACCAACAAAAAAGGTAGTTTAGTAAAATTACACACATGCCAAAAAGATAGTCACTTTTTTCAGATAACACAGTTTCCATGAACATGATTCAACAACATTATATTGTTTTGTAACAACTGATTATATTATTCCCATTATTTAAAAATTTCAATATCATGTAGTTTAGTTACCCTTAGTTTCTCAGCAGTATGTTGATATTAAGCGACTTTTCCTCCTCGACCGGTAAATGCTTCTTTCAAAGTGTCAAAAAATAAAGGAGGAAACCGTTTCTTAACAATTTTGATCATCTTATCAAGTATTTTTCTCTCAGCCATTTGGCCATTAATGTTTTTGCTACAATTGTGTAGTCCGCAAAAACCCAATAAGGAATATGCATTCTGAAGACTGATTACCTCTGTTATGACTTATGACACGCATGGATCTCACACCCTATAATTAGTCAAAGCCACCAAAGATTAGAGAACCAAAAAGATTTGACTCTAAATTACTTTTTGTTTAGCAACCGAATTCAATCGATTTATAACATCTCATGAAAGGATTGATCATACCGATCAAAATTGTTATGTAAGATCATCACTAAAACCTCAATTTCAGCATTGATTTCCCACTGTTCAAAGAATCCTTTTATACCAACTAATAAAATTAAACTAATTTTAAAAGTGATTTGTTTTTTCTTTGACTGAACTATATGCTTATGGCTGTATATGGTGAATATGTACCTCCAATCAAAACCCGCACGTGACCAATAAGTGGAAATGAAAATTTGAATTATTAATAAGATCTTAATTTTCCTTGGCTCTAGCCTCATCCAACGCCATTAATAAGCAATAATTGCTTGAATTTATGACAAAATCACAACCAATTGTGTAGTCTGCAAAAACCCCAATAAGGAATCTGCATTCTTAAACCATAAAAGCTCCAAAATATAACACATGTAATTTATAAGGTTGGTCCTCACAACTTCTTCTGTTATAATCAATCTCAAGAGCACCACAAACATCACTATTAATGTCACCAAGTCATTTGCATGATCAAAATATAAACCTTAACAAAATCCCTTGATGTATTTTTCAAAATGTACTCAAAATTCATTTTAAAAATATTAAAAATAATAATTTTTTTTGCCTCAAATCCATTAATCACAAACATGTAAATGCATACAATAAATACATGAGCTTCAACTTCGGTTTCAAGATGATAGGTGCTTTTGTAGACAGAGTAGCATTTCATATCTTTACAAGGTCACACACTTATGGTAGGTTAGGGGAGAGTGATATCAAATTAAGGTCATTCAATACATTAATCCCAAAACATAATTTTCTTTTATTCTTTTATAGATTACCAATAAGAATTTGTTAAGAATATCCCTAATCTCCTTTAAAAATCCAAATCGTTTTCTTAAATACATGTTAAGATTCAAAACAACACGTATTAAGTTTGATTGACAACTCCAAACATTTTTTTTTTGGTTTTACCACTATCAACACCATCCAATCATAACCCATATGTAAAGAATGCATTTTGTATTAAATCCCTTACTCACAAAACTGTAAACGCCATACAAGAAATGAGTTTTAACATCATTTTCAAATCACAGGTGGTTTTGTACACCATAAAGCGGGCCATTTCTTCCAAATTAAAGATCTTAACTACAGTTAGAGGTGGGTTGCCCATCCGCTTAAGCAGGTTAAAATTTGTTATTTTCAGTCATTGCATCACACAAATTAAGAATATGACGATAAGAGCTTCTCTTTTTGCCAATGAAATGGGAAAGTCTACGAAGTATAAAGTCATAAAATTAACTCGTAGAGGGCAGAAGCTGATGAAAAAAAACCCCAAAATAATCAAATATTACAAAAATAATAGGTGTACCGTGTATAGTATGCTCTCAGAAACTCACAATCAACAAATTCAAGGTCATTAAAAAGGTAAAGATTAGTGTTTCAGAAGAAAGTATCGAAGTCTTGGAGACAACAAACAACTTACATAAAAAAAAATATGAGTTTTAACGAAAAAAAATGTAGTTGATAGCGGGAGTATACCTTGACGTCGCCACTGAAAGTCTGACATGCAATGACATTTTATAACAGTAAATCATTTGAACTTCACCACCATAACAAGTGGTATGACGAGCCCTAGCCAATTCAACTTTGACTGAACCCCAATAATACTTTGATGGGGTAGAAATGAACTAAAATTGATGAAAAGAAACTTATCAGGAGGGATAACAGCCAACAAATCTTGAAAGCTAGCAAGACACGTTTAGCAATTTAGAACCCAATTGGGGAAGAAATTATGTGGGTAACTGATGAAGGGTTCTTGGCAGTCGATGGAGAAATTAGACCAGCACCCAATTGACGTTAGGTCGGTATTACCTGTTTTGGCGGTGATGAAGCATGCGCCTCTAACCAGATCCTGTGGAAATTCCCATGTAAAGATTATAACCTTGAAATGGAACCCTATTAGAGGAATAAAAATAGAGTTGGCATGAAGAGGAAGTCAAGAGGGTGACTCAGCCACAATCCAGGAGAGGTGGCGGTAAAAGGGAATCCAAGAGTGGCAAGCAGCTCGGGAAAAGTCAAGGAAAACCCACCGCCAAGTCTTCTGCCTCATAGTGAGATCAGTCTGACCGGAAGCAAGCAGGAAGACAACTTTCATCAATAGCCAAACGACGCCGTTTCTTGAACCCCAATGTCGTCAAGCTGATGTAGGGCTGAAAGGAGTTTAAACAGGCAAGCACAGGGGCGGAACACAAGCAATGTAACCGGAGGGGCCGAAATTAAAACTTCAAACCAAAACCATATAGATAAATAAATAAAAAAAAATATTCAAAATTATAACATATCAAAGTTCAAACGAGAAAACAAATAAAGAATAATGTTAAATTGCACTTTAAATGGAAATTTTTGATATTTTGCATTTGTAAAGTCTTACATAATTGTTTCTAGTTGTTTTTTCCTGATAATATATACTACATAACAAATTTAACTAGCAATTATTAAATAACTAAATAATAAAATAAAATAACAAAAAAATTATACATTCTAACAAACATGTAACGTTTTCTGTAAAGTTACTCTCATAAATAAATAATATATTATAATTTCAAATATTTTTATTATATATTATCGACGAATAGATATTTCTTAATGTGTTTATTGTTTTTAGGTATCAATAATTACGGTATAACAAAAAGATAATATAATAAATTAAAACTAAAATGTGTATGTAAGAGTTGTCACCATTTTATAGTCTAGCATGTATCATTATACCTATGTTCAGACTCCACCATGTAGTTTATCTATGTTCACACTCTACATACTCCATCATCATATTTTTGTGATAGAACGTAAGAAAGAGAAAGAGAGTAAGCGATAGAGAGAGAAAAAAAAAATACCAGTAGTAGATATTGCTATTGTGAGAGGAGATCGGAGTGGGAGAGGCGGAGACCAGTAGTCGGTGGAGAAAAAAAGCTAGCGACAGCGAAGCGAGAGGTCGCCGTCAGAGACGCAAGAGTCCCTCGTGTGGCGACAGAGACCGGTCGAAGAGATGCAGTTGGGCGTCAATGTTACTTCCGGTGAGATTTATACGTTTTCTCTTTTCCGACGAAGAACTTTCTGGGTCTTGGTGGTTTTTAAACTCAAATCATCAGCTAAGAATACATTTATTAGACTTTTTTTTATTTATAGATTTTGAGAGATACTTTCCAAGTTTCGTGGATTAATTAGGTTCCTAATACCACGCGGTTTCTTTTGATTTTATCAGAAATTTTCGGATGTTGGTTTGACTCGATTGTTTGTTCAGATTATTGGTTTTTGAACTCAAATCTTCAATTAAGAATACTTAACTGCATTTGTTTAGTTACATTACATGTAAAAGCAAACTAAAAGCAGGGGGGGCTAATTAACAAATTGAATGATCATTAAACTTATTTTATATAAAAACAATATATATGTAAGGTATTAGAAACTTCAAAACCGGGGAGGCCATGGCCCCCCCGACCCCTATTACGGTCCGCCACTGGGCAAGCATGCAGCTTACCTCCAGCTGACGGAGGCATGGTCAAGCATGCAAGCAACCAGCATACCGTGAAATGACGGAGGCATGAGTAATGGTCGGTGGAAGCTGCTTGTCGACGTAAACACCTTAATCTTACAAAAAAGGGTCTCATATATATATATATATATATATATATATATATATATATATATATATGATGCTTAGTTTTCTTGTTTTCATGGTGGGTTTAAACAATTTATAAAAATTAAAGATTAATTTTTCTCCATAAAACATAGATTCTTCTTAGTACTATTAAGCGCGATTTTGATTAATGTGATGTTCAAGATCACCTCGAAGTTAAAATCGTGGTGACCTAACTCCAAGGCTATGCCTTAAATTGGTGGGAAATCTTGAAGAAACAACATCGCGTGGAAGGAAGATCTAAGTCTAGAACTTACAAGAAAATGCAAAAGGCTCCCTAAAGTAAGTTTTTACCTTAATACCTTTTATAAGCTTTTCGAGCATCATTACTTGTTCCGAAATATTTTGTATGTAAAAGAGTTTATCAACAAATATGAGATCATGAGATGAGATGTAACTAAAGGAGAACAAGTGATCGTGAGATTTTTGGGTCTTCTCCCATGTGGTTAGTTTGCTTACTTATTAGATGCATAACAATGTGTATCGATTGACCTTAAAAGGAAAGAAGAAACAAAATACCAAGAAAAAGTATTAGGGATCAAGTTACTAACACAAAAATCGTTCCACCATCCATAACAAAGGCCAACCCCACCATGGGCCTGAGTAATGGTGACACTAGGATACCCGATGTTACAAATGTTAAAGGTTTATGTCTGAATAAATCCAATGTGACCTTTGCTAAAGAAGAAGAAATCACCCTTAATTTGATCATAATCACCAAAACAACAATATATATATATATATATATATAATATATATATATATATATATATATATTAAAGAAGGACCATCTTTAGGAACAATAAAGTTCCTAAGGTTTTGCCATAATTGACCCACTTCTTTTTGTGAAATACAGTTTGCCCCCTATAATCCAAAGCCGATCCCTCTACCGCTAACTGGAGTTTGGCTGTTGCTCACCCATTTTGTAACCCAATCAGATTGCGATTGGTGTCCCCTTCCAGATCCCAATATCTTGCCGATTGTTCTAATTTTTTAACTTCATTTCTTCTGCTTCATCTCCCGTCCTTTCTCACTCTTCTCACGCTCGCTTTCTTCTTTCATTCCCACGTATTCTTCTTCCCTTGTCGGTGGCGGTGCTTCGGTTTTGATTAGCTCCATCGAAACCTCAGCTTCTTTTCTCCGCCTTTTCTCACAAAAGGTTCCTCCTTCGATTACCCGTTCGATTTTCGCCTCCAACGTAGAAGTTCTTGATTTTTTTACGTTTGCTACTTATCTGAATATGTGTTGTGAAAGTTAGTTCCATAGTCAATTTTTGCCTTCCTCCACCACCATCTCATCTATTTCTCCGAAGAAGACGGAGGAACAACATCAACCTCACCTACATCTACCGTCAGCCTCACCTCCATCACTCACCGTCGCCCACCGTCGAAGCCGTCGAAATCATCTGCTCCGTCGGATTCTAGCAGCAGCAAACATGACTTCAAAAGATTTTCCCCATTCCCTTCAGTGCCATCCACCACTTCTCATCCCACCCACCATCATCCTCTCCCACCTCCACCGTCGCCTACGTCCGCTAGGGTTCACCATCTGACCATCATCTCCGTTTACCATGGACACCACTATGACCGTCTGCTTCTACCAGCCTCGACTTCCAAAGATCGACTGCACCATCTCGATTTTCTGTTGTTGTTGGTCTTTGTTTGACGCCACCACCGGTTATCGCTTTTGTTTAACCATTTAATTCTTTTTCCTCTACAGAAAGGTGGAATTCGATTTCAGGTAACCACAATGGAATTCGTCTTCAGGTAGCCACAATTACTTCAACTGATTTACTGTTCATGATATCCCTCTTTCGTCTATCTATTTCGACGCTATTTAAACAACTAAGCTCCAATTTTTCGATTTTAGATAATTGATTGAATACTCATGGATGTTTTCTTGATCATGTCATCACAGGCTCATCGTTGCCTCTACTTTGGTTGGTCGAAGCCTCTTACAATACCTAACATACAATCTCTCCGATCAAAATATGTTTTATCTATTTGCCTCATTTTTTAGAATTTACCGCTACGGTTGTCCAAAATCTTGCAGCATTTACTGTATTTTTTGATAATTGATAGTATTAATCTTGCGGATCAATTCTACCACCTCCCTGCTCCATCAATCTTATCCCCGTTCTCTAAAATTGTACTCTGATTGTGTTCTCTCTCTATTTACAACCTATTCTCGACCAAAAAAATAGGGAGGTGCTGGTTATAATACTAATAAGAAAAGAAGCAAATGTGGTTCGATTTAGGTTCAAGCTTCACACTTCTGACTTTTTTGAAGATATCCTTTCTCAGGTTCGAAATCTACTTTTTCATAAGTTAATGTGTTTAGTTTTCTATCGAAATCTCATCTATATTTTCTTTTCGTCTTGAAAAACATTTTTCAGATCTAGATGAAGATGAACCAAATTGGAACATGAAGGGGTTTGAATAAGGGTTATCAAATTGCATCGGGTATCAATCTATTATTTTTGTGAAATTTACTATAATTTTTGTGTTAGTTATGAACGCTTTGTAAAATGTTTATTATTCTTGATTGTTTTTTTTTGTTCTTTAATGTAGTAAATTTATGTTGTAGAGATCTGTGAGTTGGTGTAAGTGTATCTGCCTTTATTTGTTTGTGATTAGGACAATTTGTCCAATATTGTGTTTGTTAATTGCTATTTATAAGAGTTAAAATATCAAGTTTTCTGATGTTTTGTTTGGCTCAAGTACAAGTAATTCAGAGATTGCCCTTTATTTGATCTCACAATTTTCAAACAATTAGTGGCAAGATTCACACAGATTTAAAAGTGAAGTTTTTTGCTTTTATGAACAGATGTCATTGGCGGTAATTTCTATTTTGGCTGTGTTTAATTCCCCCACTCCTTTATTTTAATGCATCATTAAGTTTTATGTTATGTTTTTTTACTTTGATTTAATTTTATTCTACCAAATCAATCCCTTATTACTTTTTGTTTTTTTTTTATTAATATTTTAATGATCTAAATATATTGTAAATATATAAAACATAACTTTGTTGATTTAGATAGGTGTTTGATACGGTATTTGAGTAGACAGTTGTTAAAAAAGATTTGAAAATCTTATTTAAGACAACCCTACAACTTACCATTATCCATTTGTTGGTGATCTGACCTCAATTCCAGGTAAATCGTTGTTGATGAAGATCAGTTTAGGATAGAAAGTAGGAAACTTGCTGCTCACCTAGCATATTCTAAAGTGGAGGTCAGTTTATTTTTAGAGATTCATAACAAATGTTTATTTTATCTCATTATTTAATTACATTTCTAGTTGTGTCTATTTTATCAGGGGATATATGAAACAAAAATTGGTTTGGACAACATGTTACTATGAATGTATCTAACAACATGTTACTATGAATGTATCTATTGCATATTTGATTTATTTTGGGAAGATATAAAATCTCTTTTGGCTGAAAAGATATTTGTCATCAATTTCTACGTATACATAATTAACCTAATTTCTCTTATACTAATTTTATTTTCTGATCGTTTTAAATAATTATTTACTAAAAAACCTTTCTTTAGTTCCTTCTAATTTTTATGCATCCTTATTTTCATGGGAGGGCATGTATTTTTTAGTTTTTGACAATGAATAAATGAAATTATAAATGGGAGGCTTTTCGGTGTGGATTGCATAAGATCGGCCACATTTAATAATGCTTGTGTATCAAGTATAATGCCTAAATGGATTTTTGGCAGAAAATACCAAAAATACCCTTTCCATTGAAATGCACTATTTTTCCTTATCTTGCTTTCCCGTTTTACCCTTCCTTACATATCTAAAGTTTAATAGGGGACTAACATAGACCTAAGAAGGTTAATAGTGGTATTGATGTTTTGGCAGACAATAAGAGGAGGTTGAATTCATCCGATTGATGGCGATTACTTGGACCGAGCTTAGATTAGTCTTTACATAAATGGTGAGTTTTTACACACCTAAGAGTTTAAGATTTTCAATTGACATTAATTGGTTCAAGTAATAAATTACTTCTATTTATTACTTAGCTTTAGTTCAATGTTTCTCATATTTGTTGTCATTTGTTTCACTATATTGATTTAGATGTGAATGGAATTTTGTTTCCTTTTTAGCACTACCAGAGTAATGGATAAGGGCTATCGACATCAACAAGTTTTTTACTTTTGATTTTTAACTATTTTTTGGACAGATTCGCCCTTAATGTTGAAGAGTTTTGTTAGTCAATCTATGCATGCCCTTGATGCTAGAGAGCATGGCGTTTTTGGACATATTTGGCCTTTTCCGTGCTTCCAAGTTTTCCTTAAAGTGGACAATACAAAGAAGTTAACAGGTTGAGAGTTGTTTTATGGGAAACTTTCATTTTGGTTTATGTTGACATTTGTTTTTATTTTTATTTTTATTGGATTAACTGCAATATATAACAACATACTTTCATTGGAAGATTATTTCCAGAATTTATTGTATATATGAGTTGTAGGCTTCTTACCTATTGCTATTATCAGTAAAAAAAGATAAAAATATTTATCGTCTCAGGTTAACATGGATTGTTAACAAATCCATCTTTAACGTAATGTCACCAAAACAATTGATAAATAATCCCTTATTTTCAATACTGTTAACAAATCCATACCCCGCAAAGCGGGGTTCCTCATCTAGTTTATACTACTAGGACTTCTACAAACCAAACAATTAAAAAAAAAGGCAATAAAATCCCTTAAAAATAAATTTAAAAAGCGCAACTCAAATATTCGGCCCAAATGAAGTTATATACCTATTTCTGTATGAATCAACTTGATAACAAAAATGCCAGTATGGAAACAAATTTCATTTCCACCTTATATAAATATCAAAATTTACATTTTATCAAACAAATAACTAAACCCATGTTCCTTTTTCACCCCATGCACCTTCATAACTTCTCTTAACCTCTCAACTTTTTCCCATTCCCCTTCACCAGCATAAACATTACACAAACCAACAAACCCTCCTGGCCTCTTCACCACCTCCTCACTCATCTTTTTAGCCAAATCTCCCCTATCATACACCACACACCCATTCAAGAAAGCCCCAACCATGGAATCAGTCATTCCGACACCCAATTCCTGCATCAAATCATACGCCATTTCCATCTTCCCTGACCTACAAAGCATATCCACAACACAACCGTAATGTTCATCCCTAATCTTGACCTTTTGACTTTCTTTAACCCGCATAAAGATCGCCAAACCTTTGTCCACATATCCACCATGGCTACACGAAGCAAGAACACAAGTCAACGTGATTTGATTCGGGTCAACTCCTTCTTTTTCCATTTTGTGGAATAGTTCAATAGCTGAATCGATAATCCCGTGTTTCCCATAGCATCCAATCATTGCATTCCATGAAGCAATGTTCTTGGAACTTGTGGTGTCAAACACTTTTCTTGCTAATTTAACACACCCACATTTGGAATACATGTCAATCAGGGCACTTGAAATGAAAGGATTTGTATGCATATTTATTTTAAAGATTTGGCTATGGATTTCTCTCCCTGAATTCACCGAGCCCATGGATGTGATTGCAGGGAGGATTCCGGTGATGGTTATAGGATTGGGTTTGACTTTGGCTACCAACATTTGGTTGAATAATTCCATGGCTTTGATGGTTTGTTGACTTTGAACAAAGCCAGAAATCATGGTGTTCCATGTAACCACATCAGGAATCAAACCGGTTTTGGTCATTTTAGAGAATGTGGTGAATGCTCCATCACAGTCTCCGATTCTAGCATATCCAGTTATCAATGCATTCCATGTGAATTCGTTAGGTTCTAATCCTGTTAATATCATCTTGTTGAATAGTGATTGTGATTCTTGGAGTTGCCCAGAATTGGAATAGGCAGAAATCATGTTCGTCCAAGAAATGATGTCTGGTTGAGACATTTTATCGAACAGTTGGCGGGCGTAAAGTAGGGAGTCACATTTGCAGTACATTTCGATCAAGGAGTTGACGACAGATGAATTGGCGTGATGCCCGAATTTGTATGTCGCACAATGAACCTCTTTACCCTTGTTTGGATCACTCAAACCGACGCAACATTTCAATAGGAACTGAAAAGTGTAGCTATTAGGAACAAGATTTTTTGATTGTTGAAGTAAAGAGAAGTAGTTTATAGCTTCTTTGAAAAACCCATTGAATGTCAAAGCCGAAATCATCCAATTGTAAGCAAAAACATTAAGGTTTTCAGTGATTTGAAACATGGAATGAGCGGAAGTGAAACAACCACAGTTTGCGTAAACACCTACCAACTTTGAATGTAGAGAAAGAGAATTCATGTCAACGCCTGAAGTTAAGATGAGAGCATGGATTTGCTTGCATGGTGTTAAAGATTTTGATTTCAAGCATTTTTGTAATAAGGTGGCGAAATGATGTGGAGAAAAGGGGTTTTGATTTACAAGAAACGGGTATTTCATTCTATGAAACAATAGCTGGCCTTTCACGGAAGTTGAGGATTGCAAAAAGAGATATACTGAATTATATTTGGGTCGTGCTATAATAACGGATATTGGAAAAGCATTAGTGGCTTCAAGCTACACAAATAATACTCCCGAGCTGTCGGCATTAACCAGGTTTTGTTCTTTGATAGATGATAATCCTTCTTTTCTTTGTATTATAGAAAACACATCAAATTTTTGTTATTTTTCTGAAAGTATGAGGAACAACGATTGATACAATAAAAGCAGGTAAAGTTATTATTTTATTTATTTATTTATTTATTTTTTATATTCATTGTTTTGAAATATTTTGAGACATTAGTGAAAAAGGCAAAATCTGGGAAATTTGAATATATTTCGGTGTTAGGAAGGACTTAATGAGAAAGCTTCATTTCTATTTTGGGGATCCCATGGGTCATTCATCTGCCTTCTTCCAGTGTCAAACAACCATCCTTGATTTTCTCTTATTTACAGTCTTTAGTGAAATTCTCTATTTATTATTGTTTATAAGTTGTTCTAACTTCATTTGTGTGAGGATTGTCATCTCAGGGGCTTCAGTGTCATCTTCACGCTGATCAACTTCTCCATGAGCGTCATCCATCGCCTACATCATCCTTTGCTTACAGTAATGACGCTATGATGTTGTGTGTATAAAATAGTCCGAGAAAACTATCATGTTTGTAACTATGCCTCTTCATCAACATCAGTAAACATGAGCTGAAAAATGTCGAGCAAAGCATCAACTCTCAAAAAAAAAAAAAAAAAAAAAAAACAAACAAAAAAATAGAAAAAAAAAAAAAAGAAAGAATCAAAAGTAGCCAAGTAAAATAAGTCTTGTGCTAAAGGGTAATATGGTCCGTTTTTTTTTGGGTGCAATGGTAGTGATCTCTTGGCAATAAAGCTACATCAATATATATGGAAGGTTGGTCATGGCATTTTGGTGATATATGTTAAACGTATAGTGAAGTATAGTTTTATTTAATATATTAAAATAGTTAAAAAAATCAATTTTCAAATTATTAGGTACCTTTTGCTTAAATTTAAATGTGTCTGTCTGCGGGGTTGGATACCAAAGAAATGGACATTGCTATTTAACCACTAAAGAAAATCTGCTTTGCAATTTTACAGCAACATTATTCATCATTAAAAGAATTCTGTCTTTTCCAATTATTATTTTATAAAAATCAGTTATATATTTACTAATTTACCCCTCCAAGATTCAAGAATGTTTTTTTTTTTGGACAAGTATGTTGTCACCTGGATTCTTCAAACACGTTAAAATGGTCAATGGTAATATTAATTTTCATAATCTTTTCCCACAGTACATTGATGATTGGGCATAATTCTTTTCAGGTTACTCCACTATGAGATCCATGGATAAATTCCAACTCATGACGGCACGATGAGATGAAAAATTGATTGCTTTTTTAAAATTTCACTTATAGTAAATTCTTTTATTTCACTTACAGGTTTCACTTATAGTAAATTCTTTCACTTATAGCAAATTCTTTTTTAAAATTGTTTCTGGTGCATCGGGTTTTGGAAGAAGCTTATTTGACATATTGAGTTCTTTTTGAAGTATGTTATGCAAGAGTTAGTACTTCATTAGAACATGTACAGACACATCGCACTTCATGCAGTTCAGTTTAAGAGTTGCAAAGTAAGCACATTGGTTGATTTGTTAGCTTTATATTGTACAGACTCTTTACCGAATTCATTATTTTAACACATGAAGTAATTTGTTTGTTGGTTGGGCTATGCAGCCTAACAATAGGAAGAAAGATTATAAGTTTGGGTTTAGGTTCATGTACATATTCAATTGTTATTATTATTATTATTATTATTATTATTATTATTTTGTGAATATCTACCAACATATAGCATTGTATTTTTAGAAATACGAGGTATAGAATATAGAGCATTGTAATTTGTTTTTTTTTTTTTGTAAAATTACCAACATTTAACATTATATTTTTTATAGCGACATGGGAAAAATTAGAGTCAATATATGTAAAGCATTGTAAAGTTTGTTGATATTTCCTGTTTTCTAATAAAAGACTATGAAACAATGAGGCTACTTCCCATTTTGTGAATATCTTCCAACATATAGCATTATATTGTTTTATAGCGACATGGGAAAAATTGTGTTTTTATAGCGACACGGGATTCTTCCATAGTTAATTGTTTAAAGTTCAAATAAAAATATAGAAACAATGAGGCTACTTCCCACCCAATGGCAAGCTATAGTTATTACAATTTATTTTAGTTTTTGGCAAATTTTTAACAATTGAGACTTTATTTCTATTTTCTTTTAGAAGAATCAATACATAAAACTTTAAATTTTATAAAAACTGTTATAATATGAAATTTGTTGAATTTAACTACCCAAATAATTTCTTTTTATAATTTAACCATTATAACCTGGAACTTTATTCTAAAAAAACAATTTTAACCAGAAAAAATTATAATAGTTAAACGATAAACAAATTCTAATCAAAGAAAATGTAAAATTGAACTATATGAACAACTATGATGTATACACTAAGCAACTACAATAATGATGTCAATTTCATATAAGGAAGACCCTAAGCTATCAGGATTCATATAATCAGACAATTCTATCATGCAATTCCTGAAGATCCCTAGCCTATCACCAGCATGTTGTTCTAATATATCACAATATCAAGTAATAGTGTGGTAATTTGGGGTCTACTTACTGGCTCCGGCTGCTCGTACACATCACATCCTCTTTTGGTTATATTGAAAACAACTTTGAAAATCATTTTTAAAACCTTTTTCCTTAGTTTGAGACTGGATTCACACGAGTGTTCCTCCAATTCACTCAAACCAACTTGTGACATCCCAAAAATTTCAACAAATTTAAACTTTTCAAAACAACTCATTTACTAATAAAAGTGTTTACAAAACCATTGTTTCCAAAACATGATTTAAAATCAGAGTCTCCCAATATCCAATCAGTAGTAAAACCAAGGATGTGTACGACCATGCCTTCGCCTTGCCACGGTCCTCCGAAGTACTTGAAACCATAAACAAAAACTGTAAGCACGAAGCTTAGTGAGTTCCACCAAAGTACCAGCACACGAACAAATAACAACATGTGTTGGGTCCACGTCTAAAAGACTGGATTACCCCTGAGCCCACGGTATGAGTCTGGCTTGCCTATCGGGCCTACAGCTCAAATCTGCCTTGCTCCTGAGCCCACATCATAAGTCTGGCTTGCCCTCGGGGCACACGAGTTATGTCAGGCTTGTTCCCTAGTCCAATTAGTCTTCAGACTGGAATACCAATGTTCAGCCCTCAATACGAGTCTGTCATACCAACCGGTCCTCAGTTCGTATTTGGAATGCTATTGAGCCCTCAGTATGAGTCTGGCATTCCCTACCCAGCCCTCAACTCATATCTGGAATGCTCCAGGGTTTGTTAGCTACAACAGGAAGCAGTACAACCTCAACCCAACACAATATGTTGACATATAACAGATAGCAAACATATACAAATAATCTTACAGACAGAATCACAGGTAGTCCTACAGATCTACACGACTAGCATATCATATAATCATACAGATCTATTCCATATTCAATAAATTAGTGCATTGCATGATATCAATCCAATGGGTCGGCCTTGGTGCCTTCGACCCATAAGTACAGTGAAGAAAACTCACATCTTGATCTGATCAATAGCTGATGAGCTCCCGACTCCGAATCTCAGCTTTAACCGCCACCTATCCAACCAAAATACCAATTCTAAACCACTATCCAAAAGACTAATTCTCAACACTACCCAAAATACCCATGGGTCAAACTTGGACAAAGTCAAAGTCAAACTGATAAAAAATCCATAAGTCAACCGAGCCAACCCAACCAGTTGACTCAGCCGAGTTGACTCAAAAGACGTACGATGGGCGTACTCCAAGGGTACGCGAGGCGTACTCCCATTTTGACCGGCATCACGAGGGTTGACCGTGTACGCGCTGTGTACTCAAGTTACGCAAGACGTATGTCTAGACTTCTCAAGCTTCATTAAGTGCTTAATGCCTTAAGCCCTTACGTCCTAGTTCCAGATCCAACGTTAAAATACTCTCAAGAGTCATAAAGTTTCCAACTTTATGACTTTGCATGTCCATTAAGTGCTTTACTCAACTTCTTAATCGATCAAGACCTTTTAAAGTATGCATAGAACAAAATCAACCACTTAGATCCCATTTTTATGACTTAAGACCCCTCCTAAGGTATGAAAGGACAACTTAATGGGTCAAGAACATGCTATGTTCATGAATCTCCATATTTGGGACAAAAGAACCAAAAACCATTCCAACACACTATCTAAATGAAACTTCACCAAGTTCAGAACTTGATACCTAAAAATGGTGCTAAAAGGTGGTGTGATCCTGGATCAAAAGAGCTCCACTCCTCCAAGGTGGTCTCTCATTCCTTCTTTCTTCTTCAAAAGCACAAAACAAACGCACTCAAGTTTAGAAATGCTTCACAAGATGAATTAGGGTTGCAAAAACGTTTCAACAGGATAGAGGCTGATGAAGTGAGAGGGATTGAGGCTATAATGGGGTTTAAATATGAGCCAAAACCTAAAAATTAGGGTTTGCATGCCTGGTACGTACGCCCTGTGTATTGGGGCGCACCTTAGTACGCTCAGCATACACACGTATGCATGGTGTATATAACGCTTGATTTCCCGGTATGCATTTATGTCCAATTTGTTTATGTTTTCTGTTTGGGACACGGCATGTTGGAGCCTCAACATGGCATGTCGAGTTGTATTTGGCCGCAGAGTTTAATGAAACCACACGGTGTGTTAAGGTGCCTCAACATGGCGTGTTGGCAGCTAGGAAGGAAACCCTAATTTGTAGGGTGTTGCACCATATTTAATGCCCTTAAGTCCCCTTGACCAGCCTCCTTTGTTATCTAAAACCCTAACTCAGATATTGAGATTTATTGGTA